TGAATGGCTTTTGGTTAATTAGGAACCTCTCGAGTCTCGATTCATTTGTCCTCTGTTCAGTGATTATAACATAGTCTGATCATTTTTGATATAACAAGTTTACATACAAAAATATGAGTGTAATTTAATATGCTTTAAAAATATTATAACTGATTACATCTTCACTGTCATAATAAAGAGAGCAATTTTTTTTTTCTTTATATCACAAAAGTAAGTATTTTATAATCTAAGCCCCACAAAACCGTTGCAATGGTTTGACTGCGGGGTCGAGTCGCTAGACATTAAATGTACTTATATTTAAATGATTTATGCCGGGATACTGAAACGTTACTCAATTTTAAGTCGCGCTTAACTATAGTTCTGTCTCTACAAATTCTTTGTAAAATGACAGAGATGGCACGATATTTAAGCACGACTTAAAATTGAGTAACGTTTCAGTATTCAAGCAACAGGCGTTGAAACTTATACTTACTTATTATTAGGACATTTCTAAATAATATGACTTCAATTTACGTTTTTTTAAACCTATTTGAATTTGTTTCTCTCCTTATGTCAGCCGGCAGACTGTTTAATAGATATAGTTTTCTCTTTTTTAGTTTTCTATCTGTGTTTTTCTCTCACTTTTGAAACCATAATTTTATATTAAGTCTTTTAAAAGTTTTCCCTAAACTGAACAGAAAACCGATGATTCGTTCCCAATAGAGCCATCAAAAAAAGAAACTAGAGAATATCTAACAAACAATAAAATAGTTGTAGTAGGTACGTATAATTGTAAACATACCGTCATAGTTTACAAATGGCGGAATAGGTGTTAACTTATTTACGAACACACTCGGTCACATCGCATGTCGTTTCAAAACAATCGACGGTGCTCGACACACGTCACAAAACCTACACACAAAAACGGAATTTACAAACAACAAAATAAAGCTGACAATTGTTTTACACAATTTTTTTTACACACTACCCAACGGAATAATCACGAACACGCTCAGTTACTCCCATTCATTCATTCGTTCTCTCATTCACTCGTTCTTCCATTCACTCTTTGAGTTCTGTTCGCATAAAAATGTTGTAATGAGAACGAAATTTTTGTAACATAGCGCTGGGGTTAAGAATTTGCGCTATGTTTGGGATTTGGGTGACCCTTAAAGGATAGGGTTGTCACGTACATAGCTCAAGGGCTTTTACGATTTTCTTTAATAGTATTGTTATTTACATCTTAAGCAGTTTTGTACGGACTATGAATATATTCATTTGATGATCTAACATTCCTCGTTTTTATATATATTTATTGCGAGTGCTTCTACGAAAAACTATTTGATTACTGATCGAACAAAAATCTCATTCATAGCTTGAAGACTACTTAAGTCCGGTACTGCAGTAGGCTTAGTACACAATATGCTTTAGACATGAACAAAACTATTGGCAAAATAAGAATGAACTACAACAAGTATGCTTTTGTCTTCTCATTCACACATTCACATAGTTACTCTTAGTAATACATGTAACCTTTTACTCTCTGTCGCAATTACCAGCCCTAAATACTTAGATAAATTCAAAAAGAAATTGAAACTAGATAACAAAATTCCAATCCTTGTGAACGTCTGCAATGGACATTCAATTAACAAGAAAATGTATTTATTTTAGCCAAAATATCTTAATGACTAATTTTATTTTCATTTAGGTCCTTTGATACGAAATTTAGGTTTCATTTTTCTATAACATTAAAATGTCGATTTGATAAAGGAGGTATAGAAAACCGAGAGGTTATAAACAATGTTTTGCTCATAATATAGAGATCTCATATATTCGATCGTTTTTAATTATTTAAAAAAGATATTTTCCTATGATAGCTATGTTCTATCATAATAATAAAAATTACTTAAACACTAGCGAATACTAAAAGCCATTCGATTTAATCTTTATGTACCTATTAGTTTATGTACCTATCTTTATGTACCTATTAATTGGTATTTTACGAACCCGTTATAATTATTTATAATTCATGGAGGACTTGCAGCTTATAAAAATGGATAAAAATAACAATAGGCATAGGTAACAATGAACCAATAACAAGTCCTCACGTTTACGATTATATTGTAATCCCGTAATGTATAGCGTATAACTCGATAAATGCGCACTCCGCACTACCTACGAAAGCGCGTGAATGCGTGTGAGCGATCTTGTTGGCGTCGATGAAGAAAAATTAAAGTTAGATAGCACATCAAACTACTTACATGACTTCTTCGCAGTTGAATGAAGTGGGGCTCAAATTAGGCCCCATACACGTCAGACAATTTTGAGCTGGTCAGTGTCTCGTCTTGAGGACGAGATATCAAAGTAGGATCTTTACTTTTTTAGCACAATCCGCACTTTTTAAAAACCGTCAATATTCATAGCTGAACTAAGCCGCAACCGCACTATTCAACGATGCATGTCGTCCTCATCAGCACTATCACACTTTCGTCCGATCGAACTCGTTTCTTTACACTTTACACAGCAATACAAAATAGTATAACACTTATGGAATACTGCCGTGAAGTCCGTACCTGATACCTACTACGAAAAACGAGCTGTTGTCGGACATTTGGTAATCTCTCCCGATACAATCTGAGAACACGAGAAGCATTCTCACGAGCATGTTACGGTATTCATAAGTACTGTACCTACACGTACGCGTCTGATATTGTTTATCACAAAATAACCAAAACTGTGATGCAATAATAATCAAAATCACTAAATAACTAACACAATAATAACAAAAACACAAACAAAACGTCACAAATAAGAATACAGTAATAATAAAACTTTACAATAATAGAAAATTGCGAAAAATGCGGAAAAAACGCGCGCGCATGCATTATGCAATTTAACGAAGACGAACGAATGAATAGATAGAAGCCGAGCCGAGCAGAATGCCGAAAGCAAACGACAATAAAAAATGGCCACGAAATATCAAAGATCGAAATTTAAAATATAGAGGGGACCTTTGTAATGAGACGTGGATGTGTGATTGTGTTAATAATTAATTTTACAAGACTTACAAATGTAAGTAATTAGGTCTTGGATGTAAAACCTATGTTGTTACCCAAGTACTTACAAAAGTACTTAGAATTGTAGGTACTCATGTTCTGCATAAAAAATAATACTTTGCTAGTAGTAGATAGTTATTGAATTTGATTTTTATTTTAATTTGATTGCACGGTTGGTGCGGTGGCTGGGCAACCGGCCGCCGTGCAACGTGTCGCGGGTTCGATTCACGCACGGAACAACACTTTGTGTGATCCACAAATTGTTGTTTCGGGTCTGGGTGTCATGTGTATGTGAACTTGTATGTTTGTAAACGCACCCACGACACAGGAGTAAATCCTAATGTGGGGCAATGTTTAAAAAAAAACACGTAAGTAAATAAATTAACCTAACTACGGCATGTTAAGAAGCTGCAAGGTAGATAATTAAATATAACATTATGACGACACATTTTTTAGTCTTAAGTGGGAGCGTACTTTATTGTCACATCTGCATTCTGCATTCTAATTTGTACTCTTTTCTGACAGCGACGCATGCGCTCTGTACGCTATCGTTATCTCTCTCACGCCTCATCGAGAAAGGTGCGCTTTCTCTCTCTAGGCTTGGCGCCGCTGCCCGGCCACCTGGCTGAATGGCGCCGGCAGCGGCGCCGGCGCGGCTAGTAGCAGTAGGTATTATTCGCAATATTCGACGCTCGTCGTAATATTTACTTTATGTAAATGAAACTATGCGAAGTTGGACTTGAATAATTTTAAGATTACTTAATTAGTCAACCGGTTAATTAATTTATTTAAAATTTTAATATCGACACAGATCAATATTTACACTTTATAATGTGTAGTCAAATTCAAATTCAAATTCAAATTCAAAATTTTTTATTGCATATCATGTGTACAATTGTTGGTGTTACATGAGGCACAGTTTCAACATGAAACCCGGCTAGGGCACAGCAACATATGGAGCAAAATATGATCTAACTAAACTACTATTAATAGTTATTATATTATAACATAAGAAATGTTGTTTTCGTACTAAACATTAAAGAAAGAAGATATTTCTTTATTTTATTATAATATGTATTTACATAAATTTCTTAATAATGTATAGGTGTTATTGTATGTAGTACATGTATTATTATATTTAAACTGTCAAACACCAAGCGGTCACCGGTGACCGCGACCTATTGTTCTTTAATTGTGTCTATAAAACCGGTACTCGACGAGTTAATATGATTTTTATTGAGTAGGTAGGTATGCATTGAGTATTAAGTTTTGCTGCTAGCTTGGTCATCAAAAAACTCATTAAGGGTGTAGTAACATTTTTCAATGAGGAACCGTTTATTTTATTTATAAATATGTTATATTTTTCTGCTTCTTTTATGTATTTCGGTACAGCGTTATATATTTTTATTGACATAACTAAGGTTCCAGACGAATACATATGAAGTCGGGAGCTTGGTAGGTTTATAGTCAATAATTCAGAAAGTACTAAGGACCTACTGACATGATCATCTAGGATTAGGTAAGATCGTTGTTATTGTTAGTGAGAGAGCAGGTTCTACGCTCGCTCGCTTGGTAGGTACGTCGGCAAAATTTAAGAATAAAGTACACTGTTTAAACAACATTCTTAAGTGGACTAAAAATTTGAAAAAATAGCTCATAGATGGTAAACAATCGGCATCGGCACCGCCCACGCCCATGGACACTGTTTTTGGGGATCAGGAATTTGAAGATTATTGGGGATACGAGGATTGGGGAGATTCGGGAGGGGGTAATTGGGCCTCCGATAACCTTACTAACACGACGAAAGACAACACAAGTATTGTTTCACGTCGGTTTTCCGTGAGGCCGTGGTATCACGCCGGTCCAGCTGGCCCATTGATGCCGAAGCATGGCTATTTTACACTTAAGCCCAGACTTACACAATATTGATAAATACATTGATTAGATAATAAATAAAATACTCACATAAATTAATTAAAACGGCAGTCACTAAGGAAATCCATTTGAGGTACATCTTCAGGGATCTGAAACAAGGACAAGTTTATTAAGGTAACAGAATTTATATGTGTATATCGTTCTACTAGATCTAAAAATAGTTTCACCAACGATACTCAACTTCATACAACAAAATAGACTTAAATCTTTGAAAATTACTTTCTTTAATGGGACAAGCCCACTACAATCTCCCAAAATCGCTGCGACTCCTGTAAGCCGGGATCTACGGTAGATACAACCATGAAAACATCGGAACACTGAAGTCCGGCGCGTCTCAGGGACATGAATAACTGTTTTAGATTCTACAATGAAAGAAATAGGAAGATATAGATAGAGGAGAGCTTCCTTCGGTGAATTTATGCAGGAGACCGAATGAATTAAGCCTAAAGGCACAAAAGAGACTGCAGGACTAGGAGAAGCTCAGTCGCCGTTCTAGATTCCACAAGGTCTGTATAATAAACTACACCTGATGAAACAATATATCGTGGTGGCCCGGAGGTTTAAGACGCTTCTCATGCATGAGGGCGCTGGTTCGAAACCTACCAACGGCAAGTACCAATGTGACTTTTTCGAGTTATATGTACTTTCTAAGATTATCTAGACACCACTGACAAATGGTGAAGCAAAACATCGTGAGGAAACCTAGGCTTATAATATCTAATTATAGGTTGAAATTGCCAACCCGCATTGAGCAAGCGTGGTGATTGATGCTCAAACCTTCTCCGTGTGAGAAGAGGCTTTGCTTAGCAGTGGACTGTTGATGACGATGAAACAATTAAATTTCTAACGTAGTTCACATTGCCATAGGTCACACTCCCAAAGTATGTGATGGGCGGACTGATAATATTGCAAGTCCGCTTTCGAACATTGACGCCATGGTGATTCCTCAAGTTTAAATAAGAACAATTTGCTTTAAAAGTTGCCATGGCTAGTACGAACTTGGGCAACACAGGGATCCACTTAATAATCACTAGTAATAGGTAATAGTGTTTTATTTATTTTTTTTTCTTTATATACGTTGACCCACTCTAGGATTTTCTCCTGTGTCGTGGGTGCGTTTCCAAACAAACAAGTTTACATACACATGACACCCAGACTCGAAACAACAACCTGTGGATCACACAAACAGTTGTTCCGTGCTGGAATCAAACCCGCGAAACGTTTCGTGGCAGCCAGGTGCCCAACTAGCCAACCGTGCAGTCATAGAAATACAAATTTTTGTTTTAAACTGTCAAACACCGCGAGGACACCGGTGACCGCAACCTATTGTTCTTTAATTGTGTCTATAATGACGGTACTCGACGAGTTAAAGGCGCGTCATTTTCTAGGAGGTAACTCGGCTATCGATTCTGAGTCCGAATCAATTAAAAAAATTGAAGTTGATTGAAGAAAGTTAAATATTTTTCATTTTTCTGTAAATTACGGAAATCTTGTAACTAGCTTTATAACGCGGCATAACACACACAAACTCAAACACGTAATTGATATTATTCCTAATTCCATAAAACTCCAATAAAAAACATTGCTGTCGCTTATTTTGAAATAAGTGTCGAACTTAAACGATGTATTATAGCCTATTGGCCCGAAACCTTCTCTTACATTGAACCTTTACGACTTCTGTGACATGACCCCGAGAAACGCCTTGGTTTTAAAACTACACCTTGTATAGGAGACAAATAAGTGGACAGATCACCTGATGGCAAGCGATCAGCGTCTAGCATGGACACCCGCATCATCAATGATACTGACCCAATTCCTGACTGACTGTACATGTGCACAAAAAAGGCCACTCATTCGTTATTTTTCTTAAACTGTATTTTTAAAATTATGAGTTCCATGAACCATTATTTTTATTTTCAATACCACAATGCTTAGTTTAACCCACAACGTAAATGTTATTTTAAATCTTATAAAAATATGTATTTTAAATGTTTGAGTATTACATTTCTGTATTATTTGTCGATGAATTAAGTTAATAAAAGAGCAGACGTATCGGTAACCAATCGATGCCGCCTTTGGACACCTGAAACCCTAGCGGCGTTATAAGTGTGTCAAGTTTTGGGGATTAAGAATTTAAGGATTGTTGGTGATTCTAAAACTGGAAATTGGGGAGGGGGTAATTGGGCCTCCGGTAACCTCCCTCTTACAATGAAACACAACGCAAGAGTTGTTTCACGTCGGAATTCCGGTTGGCCGTGTTATCACTCCGGTCGAGCCGGCCCATTCGTGCCGAAGTATCCTGTTCCTGACGTCACATCGGACTCACCACCATACGTGGCCCGCGACTGCTGCGATCGGCGGTCTTTCATTCACTCGCTCGCCCGGCACGACGCCGTGCGCACATATCGGTTGACCCTAACAATCAGTACCTATTTAAATACAGTCTTCTCATCATACCGAAGTCTTTTATTATTCAAGACCACCAGCAGCACACCTGGAGCTTGATATTCAAACAATCCACTTCCACACTTAAATTATTCAATTATAATGGTTTTTTAAATAAGCAGTTCGGTAACAGCTGAATACATTAAATGTATCCTATCGCTATTCGAACTCTTCCCGCGGGTGCTATAGCCAAAGATCAGGCTGCAACGCTCTTCAAAAAACCTGAACCTTAAGGGCCTTTTCATACGTTCCCGCTGCCAGGTAGCCGGTGGCACAGAGTGTACAAACTACGATGGGACATGTGAAAGCTGGCCTCTACTCTACATGGCCTGAGTGCCAAGCACGAATAACTATCGCATTCGTAACGTAATAGTATCGAGCGCGTTCGGCGCTCTGATTGGCCGGCTCAAGTGAACCAACCAATCAAAACGCTTAACTCGCTCAATACTGTTACGATACGAATGCGATATTTATTCGTGCTTGGCCCTCTGTATGGCTGTATGGCAGTGTATCTGCGCCGCCGTGTAACCAGCGCCGTCTATCCGACAACCAGTCCGTGAGAAAAGGTACTAACAGGCTCGGGTGGGCCGATCCAGTAGGGTTAATGTAAATGTAATAAAACATGTATTATGTATATGTAGATAGTAGATACAACCTTCTCTGTGAAAAAAAAGTGGTTAATGTAGCACGTAAGATTTTTGTTAAAAATAATTTTGACTGTAAAATAAAAGAAAATATATTTGAATGACAAAAGCACGGACAAGAGTCCATGGAGAAAAAGATGTCTGACATAATAAAAATTGGAGTAGTTTCAAATACTACTTATATCAAACTAGCTACTTCCGCGCGGTTTCACTCGCTCTGCTCGGCGCCTATTAATTGTAGCGTGATATTTTTTTATAGCCTTCCTCGATAAATGGGCAATCCAACACAATAAGATTTATTCAAATCGGACCAGTAGTTTCGGAGAGTAGCGCGTTCAAACAAAAAAACAAACTCTTCAGCATTATAATATTAGTATAGATAATTAACAAACGCTCTCACCACCCATACAATTTTAAAAAGTTCCCCTTGGTTTCCATGGGATCCCATCATCAGATCTTGACCTGGTGAAAATGGGACCACCCCGAGAGTATGACCTTTCCAACAAAACAAGAATCATCAAAATCCGTCCACAAACGCCGGAGTAATCGCGTAACATACACAAAAAAAACATACAGCCGAATTGATAACCTCCTTGTTTTTGGGAAGTCGGTTATAAAAAGGCACCAACTATGATCTCCAATTCGTCTGCCAAGTAATTTTCAAAATTAAAGTAAATACCCCTTATGTAGAGGAAGATCATGGTCCAATGGTAAGAGAACTAATAAATATATTGTGCCAAAGATATTCAATAAAATAGATATATTGAGAGAGGAAAATAAAGTGAGTTTGTTTATGTTGAAGAAGAAGCTAAGGGGAGAATTGCTTAAGAGAGCATAGGCAATGCATTCTTTAATTATTATCCTTTATAATGTGTATTTTTTGTTTTTGTTTTGATTTCAGTTTTCTTTTAATGTTATATACCTAAAGTACTTAATTAGCTAGTAAGAATAAGAAATGAGCGCTTCTCGCCGTTAAACGATATAGGTATTTGGCGGAGATCTTTAATTATAAGAACAAAATGTTAATCCTAAAATTGTACTTTTGTTAAATAAAAATAAAATAGCGAAGTGCCACCCACGAGTGTCGATGACCGAGCTTATGCGGTATGTATTAATTTCAAAGGAGCTTTATTTCCATCCGAGATTCCAGTACATTGGGGTTTAAGTATATAAAATAGTTTATTTCATGGAACTATCTCGCGTATGTGGCTTTTCAGGATTTCAGTCTGCAAGAATTACTTCCACGATACACTGTTTTTAGACCGGAATAAGTGGAATTCCGAATAAAATACCGTTTAAATATACAACTTGAATACAATGGTTTACAACGGATTTTATTTGCAGTACTATTTTATAATAGTGGTAAACTATTAACCTTGGTACAGATATAATCTGATATCAACTTGTTTGTGTCTTGAAAATATTGACAATGATTCATATTTTTACGAAAAACATCACTGATGAACTATGAACCTTTTTTGGATAAGAAGGTTTACTAAAATTTCTATGCTTTACAAGCGAGTAGGCGGATTAAAAGGATCAGATTCACTAGAAACAACTTACAGTTACGATACTATTTATGGTATTTTAATAATAACGTGAATTTTAGTAATAAGTTATTCTATTTTCGACTGATAACAATCGAAATCCTTAACACACGAATTCACCGCCTCTCAAAGTCTCAACTAACGACATCTTTAAACCCTTTATTATCAGTTCGGAATCATGACAAATAACAGAACAAAACTGTCTTATACCCAAAACCCTTGTCATAAAATCTTACCCTTCCTTACCCTTACAAAACAAAGGATCTTTCAAAAAGGTTACCCTGACATCCTTATTATATTTTTTCTTATTTATTTTACTAAAAGGTGACATTAAAAATTGTTAACTAATTAAATATACTTGGAAAGGGTAAGTTAAATATAGCTGCGATACTCGGGTTGGTGATCAAAGTAGGTATAAGGACAGGCTGCCACGATGGCAGGGAGGCACGTTTT